TCCACTCACCCAGGGTACTCAGCCCTCCAGAAGATCCCAGCAGAAGCCTGTTTGTCCAGCAAATCTCTTGTCTTCTGAAGGTATAACTTAGTTGTGTACGGGTGGCTAAGGAGAGCAAAAATGAATTGGCTTCTTATTCCAAGTTCCCGCGTCCCTCCACAGTGACGTCATGGTCTTGAAGCAGAGCCAAGGAAGTCTGGTCCGCTGACTTTCCTACTTTCACACACAACCCAGTGAGTCAGGGACCTGTTATCTAAGCTTCCTGGAAGTCTGGCCGTTTGTAGTTTCAAAATGATAATAATAGCTAACATTTGTGCCGTGCTTATTATATTCCAGGCACTATGCGAAGTGCTTTACAATTATTGTCTCATTTGATTCTCACAACAACTCCGGGAGGTAGGTAGGTGCTATTTTTATCCTCATTTTACAGATGAGGAAACCGAAGCAAACAGGTTGAGTTTGCCCAGGGTCACAACTAGTGTCAGTGGCTGAATTTGAATTCAAGTATTCCTGCCTGCCACGCAGTACTGTATATACTGTGCCACCTAGCTGCCCCCATAATTACTTCACCCAATCTGTCTGCTTTTTCCATGTTTATTCTCTTTTGTACCATTTCTTTCTCTAGTCTATACACACCTCGGGGACTGTGATGTCAGGGTCCAAGTGTTGTGGTTTTACTCTCCTTCTTGGAGAAAACAATTTGTTGCAATATTTTTTTGCAAATCTTTTCCATTTTTCTACTGTTTGTAGTTCTCTTTCCATTTTTATCCCTAAATGACCTTGGAATGACCTTTGTTCAGATGGATACCTTGCCAAACTTTCATTAGACTAGTTTTAGCCTCCTGCTTTTTTCTTCTTTATGAGATAGTACTGCTCATCTATTATCCTTTATAAGATTTTATGAAGAACCCATCTTAATAAAATGAGTTTATATTCTAACCCAGTGTTGCCTTTGGCACTCATCTCTATCCATTTGGCAAGCAAATCAAATGTTTGCTAAGGTGCTTTCTGGGCAACTTGGTTTCCTTACTGCAGCAATTAATTTACATTGGTTTCACTTCAAAATCTCATCATATCAAACCTCACCATAATGAAAATATTTCCACAACCCTGCAGATGGCCTGTTTCAGCAATATTTAAGACAATGAAATGATTTGGACACCTTGAAATAAATTCACTGCATGATTTAACTTGTAATTTACTTACATTGAATTTCTGCCAACTAGCTTTGAGGGATAGTACTGAAGTTAGAGAAATGTAAAGGTTTGGGACTTGCTTATATAGGCTTTATTTTAATCACATTAGGTAGAGCAGTGTTTTGATCTCATTACTAATGATAATAGGGTAAAATTTTGACTAGTGAAAGATAAATACTGCTTTGAATGTAGACAAGCCCACCCCATTTCTATAGCACCACCTTTTCTCAAAATTCAGTACTGTATTTTCTGATAGTGTCTGCTCTATCAACAATCACAATTGCATCTATGCTCAAGACAGAGGAAATCTGATCTTGATGGTGCATCCCAATTTCCAATCCTTTGCCACCACAAAAAGCTGCCATAAATATTTTTGTACAAATGGATTTTTTCCTTTTTTTTTTTAAATCTCTTTGGGATACAGACAAGTAGTGATCTTGCTGGGTTAAAGGTTATACGGTTTTGTAATTCTTTGTTTTTTGTTTTGTTTTTTTTCTTTGGGCTAGGCAGTGGGGTTAAGTGACTTGCCCAGGGTCACACAGCTAGTAAGTGTCAAGTGTTTGGTCTCAGGCTGGATTTGAACTCAGGTGCTCCTGAATTCAGGGCCTGTGCTCTATCCACTGCGCCACCTAGTTGCCCTCTGTAGTTCTTTGAACGTAGTTCTAAATTGTTCTCCAGAATGGTTGGATCAGTTCACAACTCCACCAGCCATGAATGTGTCCCAATTTTTCCACAGCCCCTCTAGCATTTGTCATTTTCCTTTTCGGTCATGTTAGCATCTTATAAGTATGAGGTATTACCTCAGAGTTTTAATTTCATTTCTCTAATTAGTAGTGATTTAAGAAATTTGTTCATGTGACTATTGATTGATAGCTTTGATTTCTTCTTCTGAAAACTGCTTGTTCATATCCTCTGACCATTTATTAATTGGGGAATGGCAAGGAGACACCATGTAAATATATAAATATATTTATACAGTATACAGGAGAGAGATGATGCTGATGCTAATTGAAGGTAATCTGAAAGGTGAAAGCAATAGAAGCTGGGTGTACACCCACATACATATACATACATATATTTATACTGTATAAATATATGCAGGAGAGATGATGATGATGATGATGATGATGATGATGATGGAAAGTAATCTGAAAGGTGAAAGCAATAGAAGCTGTGTGGATCAAGAAAATTACTTCATAAGGGGAGACTTAAGTTGGGTCTTGAAGGAAGTCAAGGAAATTAAGAATTGAAGTGAGGGGTCAGAGCATTTATCAAGGTTTACTATGTCCAAAGCCCTGTGCTAAGTTCTGGGGATTCAAATAGAAAAATAAGACAGTCCCTGCTCTCAAGGAGCTCATGTTCTAGTGAGGACAGCCCCATACAGAAAGTTTCAGTTACAAGTCAGATGGAAAAATCACAAGATCCTCAGGATGCTGCAACAAAGCAGATCATAATAATAGATAACATTTATAGAGTGATTACTAGGTGCCAGGCACTGTGCTAAGCACTTTACAAATATTACCTCATTTGGTCCTCACAACAACCCTGAGAAGTAGGTGCTATTATCCTTATTTTATAGATGAGGAAACTGAGGCAGGTAGAATTTAAGTGATTTGCCCAGGGTCACATTGCTGATATCAGAGGACAGATTTGAACTCAAGTCTTTATGTCTCTAGGCCCTTTCATTCTATCCGCTGCACCACCGGGCTGCCTCTTTGTAAGCATAACAATAATTCTTTGTTGTTGTTTGTCCTTGTTCTGGGAGAGGACCATGACATCAGGAAGGTGATGTCATTACTTGCAAGTGAAATGGATTTAAGTGAGGTAGGGTTATGCAAAGTCACCCACTTCACTCTTTCCTCCAGAACCATCTAGGTCTACTGGCAAGATTTAGATCAGGATGACTGGAGATGGCCACCAACGGTCAAAGAATATGAACAGTTTTCAGAAGGAGAAATCAAAGCTATCTACAGTCATATTAAAAAATGTTCTAAATCACTATGAATTAAAGAAATAAAAATCAAAACAACTTTGAAGTACCACCTCTCATCTATCAGATTGGCTATTATGAGAGAAAGGAAACTGACAAATGTTGGAGGGGATGTGAGAAAAGTGGGACACTAATGCATTGTTAGTGGAGTTGTGAACTGATACGGCTATTCTGGAGAGACTTTAGAACTATGCCCAAAGGACTATCAAACTGTACAGACTTTTTGGCCCAGCAATACCACTATTTGGTCTATATCCTATATATTTTCTTTGATAATCTCTCTTAATACAATGATTAAATCTTATCAGTTTCTGATGTTGAACCATTTGACAGTGTCAAGGGCTTCTGTGACAACAACATTCTTTGCTAAGTGTACAGTACGTGTGGATGTGGCACCTGCGGAAATACTTGGCAGGCTGCTTCTCCACAGGGTGGATCTTCCCAGGATGATGGCTGCAGACACTGGG